TTAAACACATATCTTTCTCTGACTCTTGAAATAGACATGTCTGCTCAGTTTTATATTCTAACATAAACAAAGCAATTCCTAAAGAAACAGATGGATTTTTTATTTATTAATCCAACAGAGTTTTATTACTTAAATGTTATTTTTAGTTGATGCTCGTATTTGAGCAGACGTTCCGTTTATATATTCCACAGTGCATTTATATATTTTCATCTACCGGCTTGAATATTCGAGAAATCCTACCAGAGAAAATGCATCGGAGCGCTAATATATATATATATATATATATATATATATATATATATATATATATATATAGTCATCCACATACAAGCCTGTTTCGCTGTATCAACTGTTTTAGGAAGAGGCAAAATTTCTGATGAAGCTGAATAAATAGCGAAACCTGTCAAATTTATAACGGTTTCTTTAATTGTTCGTTCTTAATTATTTTGTTGGATTTAATTAATATTTTAATACATGCACACACACACACACACACACACATATATATATATATATATATATATAGTCATCCACATACGACTGTTTCGTTGTATCACAGCTCATCAGTGTGGCTAGACGTCCGGTTGCCCCTAGCTAGGATCGAAACCCGACTGAATTTGCGTCAGTTGGGGATTCTGCCACTAAGCCGGCAGGGATGAAGGTGAATTTAAGCGTATTTATTTTTACATAATCACACAGTGACTGAGAGAACTCGATTCGATTTACCGAAGTAGTGTGTATGTGTGTATGTGTTTGTGTGTGTGTTATTCACCATAAACAGTGATTAGTCAACTCCAACAGAATCGATGATGAAAGCAGATAGTGCAGAGTTTTCCATCGCCTGTGAACTAACCCATATCACCGATGAACGACCTATGGCCCGAGCACGACGGGACATCCGGTGAGTATACTCGACCTCTTTCTAACTTCAAACCCTGATAAATGCTTAGCAAAAGTTTTACCCCTCTTTACTCTTAGGCACATCAGACAATTCCCTAATCGGTGTCCAGATTGATGCCAAACATAAGGCATCCCATGATGCACCGTTCCATAGAACGATTTTTCGCTACGCAAGACAGCTTTCTATCCTCCATGATGAAAGTTCATCTCTCAACTTTCTTGAAGCATTCTACAGGGTGGGGCAGAGCAACTTGCTTATTTAAATTTGGCGCCCTAAAGCAATGGTTGCTTCAAGGATGGTAGGGATGGACTTATTTGAGAGGGTGGGGCTTAAAGTTTGATTCTTAACGTGCGTTATTTATTTTTTGTTTATTTTTCAGGAACCCCAGTGAGCATCATGGAGTGAACGAAGTTGGAACGCGCTTTCGTTGTTGAGTCATTTTTTTCAAGCGGTCGCTCAATCGTCGCAACGCGACGTGCATTCCGTAGACATTTCAATATTGCGCCCCGTGGTCGTGTTCCTGGCCGGCAGTCAATTGTTTCATGGGTAAACAACTTCAGGGAAACGGGTGATGTAAAGAAAAAGAAACCTGGCCTCCCACGAACAGCAAGGTCACCCCAAACATTGACTCAGTGTATAGAGAAGAATGGACGCCATCTTACTGATATCATCTTTAAAATTGGTAAAAAATAAAATTTAAATGTTGAACTTGTTGCAGTTCAAATAATTATATGTATACCTGCATTACTTGTGTTTTAATCGATATTTCAAATAAGCAAGTAGCTCTGCCCCACCCTGTACCTCCAAAACTTCTGCCCTTGTCTCTGAATAGATCCTTTCTGGAATGGTGAGTTTCATGCCAAAAGAATTCCAGCCAAAACAAAACAGTCAATTTTGGTTTACCCTTGAATGCGATGACGTCATAACTTCGGAATCACTACTTCAATGTCTATCGCAAGAAACCATGCAGGTTCAGTCTTACTACATTCAGAAGCGACCGCAATCGCTACAAAAAAGTTCTAGAAAACGTTAAGTGTAGTTAGGCACAAGAAGTTCAGGCAACGTTGAAAAAAAAAACAAATTGGATCCTTCGAATTCTGGAAGATCACCAACCAGATCATGAACAGAGGAAAGCGGCTGTGTCCATAATTATAAATAACCCCAAGATATTTTCTTTGACAGACAAGGCGAAATTCCTCACCTCGTTCTTTGCCTCAAACTCAACGTTAGATTACAAAGTCTATCTCCTACACAACTTCGCACGTCTCACTGAACACCCGTTCAGTAATATTACCATTACAGCATGAGAAATCTCTAGATCTATCAAAAGCCTTGATCCTAAGAAAGCTAATTGCCCAGACAAAATTCTAGTGGTTGTCCTTAAGAATATCAACCCGGAATTATAACCAATTCGTGCGAAGTTATTCAACCGCTGCGTAAAGTAGAAATCCTACCCAAGCCTGTAGAAGAAGTCACGCGTCTAATCGGTTTTCAAGAACGTGGGCGTACGATCTTCCTCCTCTCAGTATAGAATCATCATTGTTCTCACTATCATCTGTAAGCTTAGTGACGCCATAATGAATAAGAAGCGCGTCGAGCACCTAGAAACATCTTCAGTGACGAGCAGTACGGGTTTCGATCGACATGATCCACTGTTGACGTCCTAAATACAATCACTCACAGAATTAGTAGGGCTGTTGACGACAAACACACATCGAGAACCATAGCATTAGATATCTCGAATGCCTTTGACAATGTGCGGCACAAAGATGTATTACACAAGCTCTCCAGGTATAGAATCAAGTGTCTTCTCGATCATAAAGCCTCGTAACGGTTAGGTCCACACAGGCGTCACCCAGGGGTCTTTCTTCACACCAACCCTATTTTTGATTTACATAAATGATCTGCCTAAGAATATACGCAGATCATTTGTAAACATCTATGCCGATGATACGATGATATGGGCACAACTCTAAAATTTTCGATGGCTAGAGATTAGCAGCTGATCTCTCTTGCACAAACTACCCAATGGGATAAAAAAAAACCTGCTGGTTATATTCAATGCCTCGAAGACCAAACTAGTTATGTTCTATCATCGCCGATCTGACCTCGAACTATAATCAATCAGAATGAACGGAGGTCCTCTCGGAGAAGCACCGTGCCTTGAATGACAATTGGGCCTCAAACTTATATCTGATCTCAAGTGGAACTCGGACATACAAACCATTATAAAAGATGCAGGTAAAATGTTCGGCTCCCTGTACCGCTGCAGTAAGTACCTGACTCCTTATGATATTCTCTAACTTTATAATAGCCAAATGGAGCGGCGTTTTCATATTTGAACGAGAGTACCCAGACCTTATTCTCCAGCCGTAAATGAGTCTAAAAACAACTCCAAGCCCTTGCTGGTAACGAACTATTCTCTTACAGTCGAGATGTGGCAAACCTCATGGCGTTCTACCGCTACTTCCACGGAAAGTGCTCGAACGAACTATATTCCTCGGTACGGCAAGGACATGTCTTGCCACTTAGATATGGAGGGATTAGGGATGGTTTACTATAGCTTTCCGATCACTACAATTCAAGTCTGGGGTTAACCGTTATCTTCTCTTCTTATCCACACAAACTCTCTTTTAACGTATCATTCTACCTCGAGTAGCCCCGGGCTTTGTATAGGGTTAAGCTTACTGTAAAAAAATATGCGTCTACCGTAGTCGGGACCATCGAGACAATGCGAAAGATCATTTCCTTAGCTGTATAGTATATTCTTCACCAGGGCTACATACAGTTTTGAATTCAGAGTTTTCCTTCTCCTAGGCTGGTTACCCTGAGTGAATGATTGAATGAGAATCAAACACAGATCCTTCACTCAACCTGTGTTGATTATCACAAGTCGGGTAAGATTACAGGTTGAAAACTCGTTAGCCACAACTTGATCTGTTCTCTTTTTTTTACACTATACCCCATGAGGCCACAAAGAAGTGTTAGTTTAGAAACATTTAATAATTTAGACGATCACCCCACCACGCCATATATATATTTTTAGGTAATAAGAATTCTCTGTAAGTTAGTAAAAATCTTCTCTCTCTCTCTCTCTCTCTCTCTCTCTCTCTCTATATATATATATATATATATATATATATATATATATATATATATATTTTAATCAATTCACCAAGAAGGCGATAATGCCACTAAGCTGCAAGGGGCTATTGGGAATGAAAGAGAATCAGAAGACTTTAGATAGAACAGGAAATCTAATCCTAAACAGGAAACAAGGGATAAACCTCTACTCCTTTTCAAAACACCGGAGTGAACCGGGCGATAAGCTATGATATTTACTCCTATATATTATGCCATTAACTCCAAGACATTTTCGAAACGACTGTCGTTAAAATTGCACAATTTTTTAGGAACTGGTGCCTTTTTTGCGTAATTTCCTTCAATTTAAAAAAAATCGAATGGAAACCATTTTCTCAATTTGCCCGACTCATCTGCCAATTTTTATTTTTTGCTTTTTTTATCGAGCCCTCACTACTCTAGAAATTTCTATGAATTAAAACGAAGTAACCATCACGACTTTGAATGCATATCCTCTTTCATATATATTGCGAAAGGTATTATTGACTTTATTCAAGGCAATTTTATGTCAGAAAAAACAATTTTTCTTTCATACATACATCAATCACCGAGCCGTCTGAGCATCACTTCATAGCGTGAAACATTTAGTCACGGCGAACTAATATCTCTTTGATATTTCTATTTGATATAGGCTAAGTCAATATATCGGTGTCATGTGAGAATGTCTTTAATACGCTTCTCTTCGCTGGTTGGTTAATTTATGTTTTACAGCTTATGAAACTTTTGCGGGTAATTTTTTCAGAAAATATATTTTTTTAGATTGTAAATTTTCTTTATTTGGTCTTAATAATGATTTATTGATATGAGTTTTACTAATTAATCCATAACTGGGGGAGAAGAGGTGGATTTATACATTTCCAATCGCGTAAGTGAATATACCGAACCGACTTGAATTAGAACTCGACTCTCTGATTTCCAATTCCGAGTCTCTTTCCATTGCACCACCCGCACATCCAAGCTTACAGCACTTGGTATTCCGAAGCGGTTACCCATGTAGGTACTGCTCAGTCTCCACGTTGCTTAATTTCGGTGATCATACGTGAACCGATATTTGAAAGCGATACGGCCGTAAGCCGATTTTTCATCTCTGTAATAGCAAAAAGAGTATAATTTTTTTTTAATATAACCAACACAAACTGGTAGTTATAACAAACGGTAACAATTTGTTTATACGTGATATATCAGATTTGGGCGGTAATGGTCCTTCACAGCCTCCCGTCTTTAATTGTTATCAGTAATATTTCCTTCTTCATGAACGATCTTATTTTTAGTGTTATTTGTACCATTTCCTCAAAATTGTCAAGTGAGTTCTCTCTTTCTCTTTACTATTAAGACGTAGGCAATAATGGGTCTCCACAGCTTCCTTTCTTTTCTTGTTTTCACCAATCTTTGTTCTTTTACGACCCCTCCTTCTCTTTTGGTTATTACTCCAACCATTTGCTGAAACTTGTCAAATAGGTTTTCTCCTCTCTTTCTATGTGCTATGCCGCTTTAGAACGTGAAGAATTATGACTCTCCACAATTTCTTTTTTGTTTTTACCAATATTTGTTCCTTTACGAACCCTCCATATTTTGTTGTGATTTACCCCCATCCATTTGCTGAAACTTGCCAAGTATTTTTTTTCCTTTTTTATGTGCTAATTCCCTTTAGAAGTTGTGAAATCATGGCTCTCCACAACGTCCTTCTTTTTGTTGTTTTCACCAATAATTGTTTCTTTGCGAATGTTCTTTGTCGTATTTTCCCCCATTTATTTGTTTTCTCCATTTTTCATGCCTTTGCCTTGTTAGTGTTAAATTCTCCAATCCCCTTTTCCTCATATGTGCCCCAAAAGTAAAAATTAGGTTCAAATAAAAAAAAAAATATTCACTCTGCTTTCTCTGGTTCCCAGACTTCATGAATTTAAGCGTTCAACTCGGCTGGCATCTCGCTCTCACCCTTTCACTTTTGAAACTGTTAAATGTAGCCGTCTCTTCTACTCCAATTGCTTCATGTCTCGCACTTCTCGCCTGTGGAACTCCCTCCCCATTTCTTGTTTCCCTGATAGCTATAATCTCCAACCATACAAATCTCAAGAGACATCTCCAGATGCCCTGATCTATCCCCTATCCTTTTCTTCATCCTTTCCTCTATCACCCCTCTTTGCTCTCGCTCCAACTCTCTGTAACCCCTTGCGTACTAGTGGCTTCCCGCCTTGCTTGGGGTTGAATGCTTTAAAAAAAGAATAAATAAAAATAAACTGATTTGACTAACTTATTGTTTGCTTATGAGTTGATGTTTTCGCATCGAGAAAGGGACTACTATAGGAAGCCTTACCCTAATTTCGTTAAATATTATTACTACTTTATTGAGTTTGTTTCTCACGATTTCCTCTACATTAGTGACCTTGTTCCAGACTGAGCTAAACTTAATATATACCTAAATATCTACTTCCATTTAATTATGGTTAGTAAACAACTGAATGGGTATTTTATCGTTTTTTGTGGAAGTTTCATATGAGACATTACCCATTTGCAAGACAAAATCTAGCCAGTCTATTTAAGATCTTCAATATTAAATTATTTTTACCTAAATTTCGGCCTTCATCTTCGATTGAAACAAAAGATTATTGATTTTTCCATAGTTTATTTCCGATACGCGCTAATTTGATTAAACTTATTCGCAATGAATATAGTTTTTTTTTTTTTCTTTTTGAAGTCACTATTAGTTTACATTAACAGAAGATGACATAAAACCGGTCAGACTTTCACGGCTGGCTGACGCGAGAAATTTTCTGTCTGATAAATACAATGTTAATGGCGGTTGGAGGAGATTTCCTCTAGCTGGTTACACATCATGAGTCTTATTCTCAGAAAAAATATTCAGATCGATTTATTAACATTATTATTATTATTATTACTATTACTATTATTGTGTCGCACATTGACGTAGTTAATATAAATTCTCTTCTTGAGACACATTGTCAGCAAAACTCTTCGCAATTCAAGAAACTTTCGGAGAATCCTTGCAGAAAAAAAGAATTCTCAAAGAATAAAGAATTGTTGTATGCGTATTGTATCGAGTATCATGTCTGTTTTTACTATTTGATTATCGTATTTTTTTTTACTATTGATGAGCCTTATACTGTTTATTAATGTGTTATCTGATGTCACTCTGGTCTGATAAGTGGCAGGTGAGCCTGTGGGATAACGTGGTTGTTATATATCCTATGTAAAACGTTTTGTATTTTTATTTATAGAAAAATACAGTCCGAGTGGGCAAGCATATTTATGCACAATATTGGTATTATATAAGGGAGATGGGGAGTTTAAGATATATTATTTTTAATGACAAGGTTTTTAGTTTTGAATTTTTTGTATTAAATAATGAATCTGATGTATTTGTTTTTATCGAGTGGTTTTATATATCTATGTCTGATATTTTTTATAACTGTTTCGTCTTTTATTTGCAATTATGGGGTATTTGATTTTAGTACACACACACACACACACACACACACACACACACACACACACACATATATATATATATATATATATATATATATATATACACTGCATGCCAAATTATTATCGAGATAACTTTTTTCTAGTATTTCAAAAACTGTCCAATCAATTCACACAAAATGTTCATACAATATTGGCAACACTGATTTGCGCAATCACTGAAATTTTAGTACTGATCTGCGCAATGTAAACAAACTGGCGCCATATTTGTTATCAGCACTGTGATTTGAGTGTACCAAATTATTAGAAAAGTGTAAGAATTTAGTGAAAAGATGGGCCATGAAAGCAGTTTAAGTGATACTGAAAAGAAAACTATCACCTCAGAACTCTCAAAAGGTAAATCTACCCTAGAACTTTCTAAAATGATAGGGAGGTGTCATCAAACAGTGAAAAAGTTCACCACCGACCCTATACAAGTACTCATACAGAGGACGCATATTTTCTATGAAAATTTCTCGGACATTCAGGCCGGTAATTGTTGTTAATACTGTTTATTATAAAACAGAGCATTTACTTAAATATTTGTATCTATAAAAAGAACGTATAAATATAAAAAATGCCTTTAAAAAATAATGGTCGGACTTTGTCCATTTCATAATATATAATCGCTTATACCAAAGTAACACAACAATAACAAACAGCTAGAATTCCGTCAACAATCTATCTTCTTCTATCTCTGTGCCATGTCCTTTCAGGACGTGGATGATCATGGCTCTCCACTCCTTCTTATCCTTTGTAGTTCTTAGTAAGGTTTAGCTTTCAAGTGCTCTGCCATCGATTTTTGACACCAGCTCATTTGGTGTATAGTCGTTGTATTCTTCTGTCCCTCTTGCCTTTAACATGCCCAGTGAGTGTTAAATTTTCCTAGACCTCTTTCCCTATAAATGCGTTCCAGAAATTTTAATTATCTCTTTCTGATTCTCAGTATAACCGTCCTTTCTGTTTCCATTTTCCTTAAACCTTCCTCGTTACTCACATGTTCTGTCAATGGCATTCTCAGCATTCCTCTGTAGAACCACATTTCTGTGGCCTCAAGTTACTTCTACATCTATGAGGAAAGTTTCTAACAGTGCTACTACTAGGACTGATATTGCGCGGCAGTTCCACACGCTTTTCTTTTGTTTCAAACAACATTTTTCTGTTTCTTAATACTTTGCTTCGCTTCTGGAAGGCATCTTTCGCTATTAAATTACGCCTGCCAATTATGATGTCACATTCTATTATTACGGATAGAAAATGAAAGATACAAAATCACAGTAATTAATGGCAATGTTAATGTTAGCCGTTTCCTTATAAGGAAATAGTCGGTAGCTGTTTTTTGGTCTTCCCTGTATTGACGGCGGTTTCCTTCCTAAACTTTTAGTTTAAGTTGTGTGGAATGTCTTAATTTGGATTCTGTCATTATTTTCTCTTCAAGTTACATGTTCTATCCATTTTAGCTGTTGCTGCTGCTGAAAGTTCTCAAGTAATGTTGTTTCTGTTATTTAGTGCAGTACTTAGTTGATGATTCTATAGCGCCAGTCCACAAAGATTGAAGAAGGATGATCCTCGCTGAAACCTACTGCTTTCATTCTTAAACTATTCTTAACTATTGATCTGAGAAATTAGTTATATACAGCTGACAGTTTAGATATTTCTGAACAGGTTTGGTGCCACGGATGACATCCATATGAAAGTCTTGATCTGACAAGGCTATTTAAGAACATGATACTAGTTTTTATGTTAATGTTTTGACTTTGTAGCAATTTGTGGCATTAGGCAAAACTATCCCTACTGCAGTCTATTCTATGTTCAACTTCCATATCTCCTATACTAATTTTTTTATACCTGATCCACATACCAAGGTATTTGAAGAGTTTAGTATTTATTAATTATAAATAATAAATATTTATGATAAATTCATTGTAGGTGCCATCACTGCTTCCATTCCAATTTCATATCATAGTTTCTGGTTTTGAAAGGTTTATCTTGAATCCTACTTCTTGGAATATTTGGTAAATGATGCTAATTTTTTTTTTTTTTTTTTCAAGATCATTCTTATCTTAACTATAAATACATACCTTATCGGTATAGTAGCCTTGGAAGAGAAAATTGGATTACTGCCTTCTATTGGTAGATTTTTTTGGGATGTTGCTTAGAATGCTTAAATGTACAGGGAATAGTCTGGGAAGAGATTACAGAAATTGGTGCGAGGAGTGCCAGACATGAAGCTATTGGAGTAGAAGAGATGGCTACATTTAACAGTTTCGACAGTGAAAGGGTGAGAGCGAGATGCCAGCCTAGTAGAACGCTTAAATTCATGAAGTCTGGGAACCAGCGAAAGCAGCTCATCAGAGCAGTTACCGTGAAAGTATTTGTAAAAAAGACAGAGGGAGGCGACGGCACGTCTGTGAGAGAGCGACTGTAGACGAGATGCCAGATCAGGGCCAATTACATTGCATATCCGGCTTTGGATTTTATCGAGGACCTTGAGACAAACATAAGGGGCACCAGACCATATATGGCAGCAATACTCCATGCAAGGACGAATGGTTGATTTGTAGATTTGAAGGACTGACTCCGGCGAAG